CGGCGTGCCCCTGGTCGCCGGGGCAGGAGTGAGCAGTGGAGAGAGGCCGGGTCAGGGGGCGGGGGCTCCCGAGCCGGGAGCCGCCTTGTCCCGCCCCGGGGGCGGGCCCTCTGGGCGCCCGCAGCTGCGGAACGCCGGGTGCAGCCGCGAGGGGGCCGCCGGTGTTCTAATCCCGGGAAAAACTGGCGCCGCTGGGCCAAGGCAAGCCCGCAAGACTGCCAGGCGCGTCTGCCGGGCAGAAACGCCGCGACTCTCGAGTTTCGGGGTCCTCTCCTCACCCTCGGCAAAAGCAGTTTCTGTATCTTTGTGAACTGGGAAATCACTCGACCAAATGCAACAATAAATGTCCCTAGACGGGTGGGGGTGTACATCCAGTGTCGCTTAGTTTCTTCTGGATTCCAGGGGTACCCGGTTCCCTCTGTGAGCCTTAACTCTCCCTGCTGGGGATCAGTAAGTATCCATTGACATCACCTGGACAGCGCTCAGCAGCCCTCGTTAGAAAACGCAGAATCTCCGCCCCAGTCCAGACCTGCTGAATCCGAATATACACTTGATAGACCCCAGGGGATCCTTTCGAAGATCAAAGCTGAGGTCTGCTCTGGGGGGACATCTGCTTTTAACATGTATTGATAGTCAGCATTGTACTTAAAAGCTTGGACTCTATGAAGCCGGGCTGGGAATTCTGGCCCTGGGGAATGACTAAACCTCTCTGAGCCCATTTGCTGAGGGGTGGGATTGTGGAATGGAGACATTAATAATAGCATCTAACTTCTAGGGTTATTGGAAAGGTTATAAAATGTGACATGCAAGGAGAATGCCCAGCACTACACATAGTGAGCACTTACTGAGTGCTCCTTTCTCCATCAGCAAACGCATTGCACACCCACTGGGTGCTACACCCTGTGCTAATGTGGAGGCAAATCAAACTCCGGTTGCAGCCCTTCCTGAAGCAGGTGCCAACCCCATGTGACCATACATGTCAGCAACTCAGCCTCTCTCCAGCTCCCACTAAATACAAAAGACAGCTTATCCTGGAAGAAACCCTGCCCTCTCCTACTCCCATGACAACCACAGACTCCCTTCCCCCAGGGGGCAAATATGGTCCCTGGAATTCAGGAAACCCACACCAGAGCCCAGCTCTGCCACTAACTTGGTTCTTGAACAGCATGGCCAAGGCTCTCAACTTGAGTTTCTTCATCTGTAAGATGAAATAATTGAAAAAAGATTATCAGTAAGGTCATCTTTCACCCTCCACCTCCCCTCAAAAAAGCAGTGGTCTCTTCAGGGATTGCAAGGAGACTTGCAAAGGCTTTAGACTACTTAGTTTATAGCCCAAGGAATGTAACCAAGGCTGGCATTTCTCTGCCCAGCACCCGGCCCTGCGCCCTGCACACCATTCCTTTTCTGTCCAGTGTTGGCAGCATCTGCACTCCAAGCAGGTGGCAAAGCGTTCAAGTAACTTGCCCTTCATCGTCATTTGGGCCCATGAAAAGCAGAAGCCCAGGGGCAGCCAGGCATGTTCTGCTCCTCCTCCTCCTCCTCCTCCTCCTTTCCTGAGCCCCGTCCCTGATGTCATAACAGCGCAACTATGACAACTTGTCATGGGAACAGCTGAGCAACTCACAGAGGAGCTGTGCGCCTCATTTCTGAAGTGAGGCTAGGAAGAGAAGATGAACAATTCCCTAGATTATCTGGCCTACCCTGTTATCGTCTCTAATCACAGGCAAAGCACAACCTTCAGGAAGAAACTGGACTTCGGCCACTACGTATTTCACAAGAATAGAATACAGATAGGTACGCGGGCAGTTGGGGCTGGACACTGCTGTTAGGGATTCTGGAAGGGCCCTCCATAGTGACTGGCAGTAAATCAGGTCAGTACGTGACTGTGGGACACCACGGCCTTATCTACTGAATTTGGTCAGAAGGACATTAGCATTAGTAACACAATTTACTTGGTTGTAGGGAAAGTCACAGTATTTTTCTGGTTTTCTATGCAAAAATGCATTCTGACTTGCCTGACAACCTATTGTCTTCTACCAGGGAGTTTGTTTCATAGAAACATTCATTTCAAACTCTGTAAAGCCCAGGTAAATGAGAAAGAGGATAGGACCAAATAGAAAGACCAGGGGGACAGCCAGAGGTGTTGTGGTTAAGGGCAGATGGATCCCACATGGCCAACTTTGCAGTTCAAGACCAGACCCAGACACTTGAAAAACACACTGGGTGCATGTGCATGCCCAAGATGCCAAGAGGGAACTATAGGAGAGAGGATTACGATACGGCCACCCCCCTGAGGGAGTGCTTTCTCACTCTCTGTCTCTCTCTTCATAGTGTTCTCTCTATTTCATTATTGGAAAAAGTCAAGCAAGTACACATACCCTAGAGCAAAAATAAATAAATAAATAAATAATGGGAGGAGTGGGAGACAGACGTTTTTGTTGGATTAAAAGGACATTTCTTTCTGAAAACTTTCCTTTTTCCAGCCTTCATCCTTCTTTCCTTTTTGTTCCAAGATCTTCAGAGATGTCAGTTTAGGAAATTCAACCGAACTGAAATTCCTGAACTGGATGAAGGTCAGAATTCAAACCACAAATGTTCGCCAGTCGAGACCCTTGTCTAGGGCAGGAGTGGGTTTCCTGAGGCCACTGCCCAGACTCCCGTGTTGTAACATCGCTCTTTCTTATCTCCATTCTCTAGCAAAGCCTACTGTCGACACCAAACCGCCAGCGGCACACACACATCATATTTTAAAACTGAGCAAACTACAGGTATTTGTTCTTGCCATCTGCAGGTGGATTTTACGAGTTTTTATCTGTCCCAAGGAGGTCCGATTTCCCAGAGGCTTCTAAATACCCACTGAATTCTAAGGCTGGTTACTTCTTGCCCTCCCTGCACACGTCACCCCGTTTCCTAAGTTCTGCTCCCAGTCTCTGCTGTGGCACTCAGAGCACCCCTTGCCCTCAGTCTCACAGGATGCTATGCCCTGGTGTGTTGGAGCATATAGTGACGATGTCACCTGGTGGGGTGGGATTTCTTACCAGGGTGAACAAAAGAGAATCGACAAAATCGAATATGAAAACAAGCAACTGTGTCAGAAAATTGCGAATGCCCATCGCGGCCCTGCCAAGGTGGATTGCTGGAACGAGTACTTTTCCAAGAGGTAGTGTTCTTTCTCTTCGTTTTCGGAAAGTCAAAGCTGACCCACCTGTGTTTTAGGGCAAGGTTTTCCTGAGTGAGAAGAATACTTAAGGGAAGTTATCTTGAAGGATCGCCACAGAGGCCATGCTCAGGAGAGTGCAGACCCCACAGACAGGGACCTTTCTCCCTTTCTCCTGTGCTGAGCTGACTTTTCCTGCAGATTTCTAGTTCCTCTAAGAGGCTTTGCAGAGTCCTAGTTCTAGTCATAAAAATGCTCTGTATACTTTTGTAAAATGATGACCTTGTGTCTTGGTCGCTCAGGCTGCTATAAAAAATTAAATTGGGTGATTCTTCTAAACAAAAGTGTACTACTCACAGTTCTGGAGGTCGGGAAGTCCAAATAAAGGTCAAGGTGCCAGTGAATTCAGTGTCTGGCAAGGATCCACTTTCTGGTTCATACACAACCATCTTTTCACTGTAACCCCTCATGGCAGAAGGGGCAAAGGTCTCTCTCACACTTCTTTTATAAGAGCACTAACATAATAACCTATTAACCTCCCAAAGCGCCCCCCCATACCACCACCTTGAAAATTAAAGTGTCAATATATGAATTTTGGGGGGACCAGCAGGTGGCATGGTGGTTAAAGCGCTGGACACTCCCACATGGCCAACCACAGTTTGAGTCCTGGACCTGGTGGCTTGCTTTCTCACTTTCCCTCTCTCTCTTTCTCTCTCTTTCTTTCTCTCTCTTTCTCTATCTCTCTCTGGTCAAATTAAAATAAATAATTGAATAAATAAAATAAATAATCCTAAAAATTATTTTTAAAAAAAGAATTATTTTTTAAAAATATATGAATTTTTGGAAGACATAAGCATTCAGATCATACCACCATAGCAGCGACTATGACAGACCAGTCTTTTTTTTAAAGAATTATTAATTAAATGTAATTAATTAATTAATTTTAACTTAACCAGAGAGAGAGGGAAAGTAAGAAAGCAAGCTGCCAGGTCCAGGACTGGAACGTGGTCAGCCATGTGGGAGTCCAGTGCCTTAACCACCATGCCACGTGCCAGCCCTGACATAACATCCTTAAAATTAGTTCCACAAATATTTCCTGAGCAGTTGCTATGTGCTAGGCACCAGGAATTACAGATAGAAAATGAGATGTTTCCTAACTTCACAGGGCCAGCAGGTGGTATGGTGGTGAAGGTGCTGGACTCCCATATGACCATCTGGGAGTTCAAGTCCCAGACTTGATGGCTTGAAAATCACACTGGGCACATGTGCAAGCGTGCCCAAAGATCCCAAGAGGAGCAGTAGGAAAAGAGATTAAAGCATGGCCATCTCTCTGAGGGTGGGGGTGATTTCACACTTTCTCACTCTCTGTCTCTCTCCAGTGAGTGCATGTGCCCTATGGCAAAAACCTAAAATAAAAAAAAAATAAAATAAAGAACTCAAGGTCTGGTAGAGAGACATTTATATAAATAATAACAAGACAGTGTAGTCATGACTCCAGAAGAAGTGTATATAGGAAAATAACGTGGTGAAGTGTTTGTGTGTGTGTGCATGCACACGTGTATGGGAGAACGCCAAGATGCCTCTCCTATATACTGGTATATATCAAACTAAGTTGAAGCTGGGGGAAGTTGGGACCAGCAGTTGGCTTAATGGCTATGTTATTGGACTCCCATGTTGTCAACCGTGGTTCGAGTCCTGGACCTGGTGGCTTAAATTCTCACTGGGCACGTGTGCGTGCGTGCCCAAGATCCCGAGAGGAGAACAGAGGAAAAGGGATTGCGGCATGGCCATACCCCCGGGGGGGGGGATTTCTCATTTCTGTCTGTCTGTTTCTGTCTTTCTGGTGAGCGCACGTGCCCTATAGCAAACACCTCTCCAAAACAAAAAAAGAGAGAGAGAGAAAAAGAAAGCTGGGGGAGTCAGGTGAATCAAAACTTGTCCTCAGCCATCTGTGAATCATCTATATGGAGACCATCCCAATCATATAAATGAGAAGATGTGAACCCCAAATCCTGGTTTCACATAATCCGCAGGGAACTTTCATAAATGTTTCACAGATGTTGCCGTCCAAACTCCACCTCAGACAGCAGGGGAGAATCTTCCGGAGAGCAATGAAGTTGAGGACCGGTAAAGCACAGGAGCCTTTAGGGCTCGGCAGGACGGCCGAGGCAGCTTGGCACTTAGCGCTACTGCATCTCTTCTCCCGCTCCCATGTCGGACGAGCATCCGCTTCTTCACCCATCTTAGGGTTTTGTGTTTTTCAGCTTAAACAGAGAAACAAGGAACCGTGAGCTAGTGAGAATCACCATGGAAAACCAGGGCATTCTGAAGAGGCTTGGTGATCGCAAACCCCACTATGACCGCAGGGCTTCCGAGATGGACTGGCAGGCACGTGGGCACTCTTGTCATATTCCGGGTGCATGCAGAATTTGTCTGTGTCCAGACCAGAGAGTCTCAGGAAAGTTCCTTGAACAGCTAGGACCAGATCATGTGAAATGCAACGAGTGGTTGAAAGAAAAACTGTCCAAAGCGAGCAATGCTAACAGGCACAACCCATCTTGGTAACAAAGCTGTTATGTGCCCATTCAAAAAAAATAATCTGGAGCATTGTCTTTCACCCCTTAATTCCATAAGAAAGACTGCATGTACAAGGATGAAGGGGATATGAGTCAGTGTGTGGTTGATTTGCTTCATTTAGGAATGACCCTTCAAAGAGGAAAGACAAGACAAGCCATCCGCAGTGTTTGTAAAACCTTCCGCTCCCTGGCTTTGATCTGTTACCCTTTCCTAAGTCATTATTAGGATTGAGAACTTCAACAGTAGTTCCAGCGCCCTGGCATTGACACAAACCTTTCTGATTTTCTTCCTTCAAGAATTCAAGGCGCTATATCAGAAATACAACAAAATATCTTCTCTCGCGAGATGACTAGGTATGCCTCTTTACTTTAGAACATCGTGATTACAGTTGATACCAAAGTCCTCAGACCCACACAAACAGAGGACAAGGGACCCAGTGAAGGGGATGAATTTTGCTCATCTCGTAGAATATGCCTTGGCCATCCGTTCGAGGAACTTAGAAGACTTCTGACTTTTTCTCTCTCCATACACGTAAATAATGACATTGGCTTTTGTCATCAGCTTTGAGGCTTTTACATGAGTCTAAGTAAGAGGAAGTGACTTGTTCCAGTAAGTCAGAAATGGGAAACCTCATACTTAAAGTTGTGCCAATGGTACATTACAGGTCTCTGTTACTATTCCAGAGTACTTCCATGTTGGCATTTTGTATCATGGTTAGTGTTGTGAATAATGATTAAGTGGTCTCGCCCCCTCCAAGGGAAAAGTATAAGTGGACACCCAGGCTTTTCAAATAGTAGTTCTGTATCATTGATATGTCTCCCTCCCTCTCTCCTCCCCTGAATACAAGGTTACTCACCACGGAAAAAAATACAAGTGAAGGCTCTAGGATTTCTCAGCTGCTTAGAATCTCAAGACACTCCTGAGTGGCTGTATGCTCAATCTTAGGATGCTACAATAAAGCTTGGAACATAAAATGAGTAAGTTACATTTAAGAGACTGGAAGGTTCTAAAGTCCTCACCCCAAAAGGGGACAGAAAAAAAGGAAAGATGCAATAAATATTTTTTATTTGGGGCTATGAAAAGAAGTTTTAACGAGAGAGACCCAGCCGATAACACAGACAGTGTCGTGCTGAACTGTGATGCTGGGGACCACGTGGCCATCGGGTAGGCGGGATGCTGAAACGCATGTCCAGGATCCTAACAAGCTGGAGGGTTGGGAGAGGCGAGAATCTGTCTGCCAGGACCCTGTGGAGGGTGCTGCTGTCTGTCTGTCTCTCATGCATGTGCGCTAGCTCTCTATTGTGAATAAATAAACTTGATAAAAAATAAAACCATCATCACCATCTTGGGGGAAAGAAAAGGTGGGTGAGATGAATCAGTCCCAAGTGCAGTACCGTCAAAAGGGAAACCAAAGTATGTGACAACATCAAGGTTCGGATGACACAAGGAACGAACGCCATCGGTTCCTCTGTGAATACACGAATTTGGAGAATGCCGTGTTGACATCTCCACGTACTCTGTTCATTTACGGGGAGCAGCAACAGTGACATGTCTTAACAGATACAGGGAAAGGATTTGTATGGCTTCGGTGACTGGTCAATTGTGCTGGTTTTGAGTCTGACTCTGTTTTTTAATGTGCTCAAGGGCACATGTGTTCGCTGGAGAAAGACAGAGAGGAGTGGAAATGAGAAAAGAAGGATGGTCACACCGCAGTTCCTTCTCCTCCATTTCTCTCTCCTTCCGGGATTCTGGACATGCACACACATGTGCCCAGCATGTTTCTCAAGCTGCCAGGTCTGGGACTCGAACTGTGCTGTCGGCTATGTGGGATCCAGCTGCTTTAACCACCATGGCAAGGCCTGGCCCCAAGCCTAACCTTTAAAACTTTCTATTTTAGGAGCCATCGGGTGGTGTGTTGGTTAAGGCACCAGTCTCTCACATGACCCAGTGTGGTTTGAGTCCCAGACCTGGCAGCTTGAAAATCATGCAGGTGCATGTGTGTGTGCATGTGCCCAAAAATCCCAAGAGAAGAATGGAGAAGGGATTGCAGCAAGGCCATCCCTCCTGGGGGGTGATTTCTCACTTACCATTCTTTGTCTCTGTCTCTCCTTGGTGAGCACATGAGCCCTATGCAAAAACTTTTTTAAAATAAAGATCTATCTATTTCGAAATAATGACGGATTCACAGGTAGTTGCAAGCGTACAGGGAGGCCTCCTGCGCCCCTCCCTCAGAGCCCCCACCCCAGTGTTAACATCTTGCCTAACCATAGTGCAAAATCAGGACACTGACATTGGTACAACCCAGATAGCACATGCAGATTTCATCAGTTGGGCATGCACTCATTCGTGGATGTGTGTGTATAGCGCTCTGCAGTTTTGTAACGTGTAACTGTGTGACCACAACCACTTTCAAAATAACTGTATTAAAATCAAAGACACTCTTGTGGCTGGATCCCACATGGCCAGCTACTCAGCAGCTTGGAAAACACACTGGGCGTGTGTGTGTGTGTGTGTGTGTGTGTGTGTGTGTGTCCCAAATCCCGAGAGAATAGAGGAGAAATTCCCCTGGGAGTTGCTTTCTAACTCTCTTTGTCTCTGTCTCTCCCTGACGAGTTCATGCACCCTCTGGCAATTAAAAAAAAAAACTTATTAACAGTATTTCCTAAAAAACTGTAGAGCTAAGTTTCAAGCTACACATCCAAAAATAGTTCCCATACAGTTACCCTACAGTTAGTGAACTCCAGAATATACTCCTCCTCTCTAGCTATAACTTTGTATCATCAACCAAACTCTGCCAATCCCTCCTCCCATCACCCTCCTTAGCTTCAGTGACCGCTAGTCCACTCTACTTCCATGGGATCAATGTTTTAACTTCTGCACGAGAGAATATTTATCTTTCTATGCCCGGCTTATTGTACTTAACATGATGTGTTCCAAACTCCTCAAATATAAATAAATAAATATGTATATATACATATCAAATCAGGGTGATTTCCATGCCACCTTAAGCGTTTACCATTTCTTTGAGTTGGGAATACATATATATGTATACCTGTATATGTATAATATGTATGTGTATATGTATATACATATAGGTATATGTATGTATACATGTGTGTACACATACTTATATGTATGTATATATGTATATATATGTGTGTGTATATTTTTTTAAGCTAGAGAGAGGATTTTAATATTCCCAACTCAAAGAAATGGTAAATGCTTAAGGTGGTATGAAAATCACCCTGATTTGATCATTGCACATTGTATACATGTATTGAAATTTTATACTATAGCCCATAAATATGCACAATTATTATTTGCCAATTTAATATAAGAATTTAAAAAGAAAAAATAACCATTTTAAAAGGCTCAGCTACAGTGTACTGAGCTGCAGTGCTGGAAGCCACATGGCTGACTATGGGTTTGGATACTGAGTCAACCTGAAAACATGCCAGGTGCAGGTGCCTAAGATTCTGATGAGCTGGAGGGCTGGGGAGAGGGTCTTGGTGTAATGAGACCCTGTCAAGTGTCTGTCTCTTGCACGCATGTGCATGCACATGCACTCTCTCATGAATGTGTAAGTGTACACAAAATTCTGAAAGGAAAGGGATTGCAGTGTGACACCTCAAATGGGAGGTGCTTTCCCACTTTCCCCCCTATCTAGCAAGTGCACACGCCCTTGCATAATGGTTACATGGCTGGACTCCAGTGTAATCTACTACAGTTTGTGTCCCAGACTTGGTGGCTTAAAACTCACACATGCCAGGCACATATATGTGCATGCCCAAAATCCCTGGGGGGTGATTTCTCACCTTCTGTTTCTCTCTTTGGCATACACACACATCCTATAGCAAAAATCTCTTTTAAAAAATTGCATGATATATAGTTTCCTATTCTTTTACTTTCAGCCTACCCATGCCAGTTTGTTCAAGAGAACATATACTTATAGGAAGCATATAGTGGGTCATGCTTTATTTTATCTGCTCTGCCAATCTATTAATTGGTCCTTCTGTCCTCTTCACTTTTAAAATAGAAACATAGAATCAATAGAATCAATCTTCAGTATTTCCTCTATAAACATTGAGTACCACGTCAGATGCTGGCATCACTTTTAGCCATAAAATATCGGTTTAAGAAATATCAACAGGTGAAGGATACTCTATTAAGCTTACTTCTACTTTGTCATATATATTTTTTTTCTTTCTGACATTCTCAGCCTTCTGTTAATTTCTGTTTGGAGACTTTCCTTTAGCCGTTCTTTAAGGGTAATTCTCAACAAATTCTGCTTCCCTTCATCTGACAATGTCTTTATTTTCCCCTACATTTCTTTTCTTTTTTTTTTGGAGAAGTTTTTGCTATAGGGTGCGTGCACTCACCATTCACAGAGAGGGAGAGAGAGACAGAGACGGAATGCGAGAAATCACCTCCTGGGGGGGATGGCCACACCACAATCTCTTCTCCTCCATTCTCCTCTCAGGATCTTGGGCACGCACGCACACGCGCCCGACGAGTTTTAAGCCACCGGGTCTGGGACATGAACCATGGTTGACTACATGGGAGTCCAGTGACATAGCCATTACACTAACTGTTGGTCCCTCCCCTACATTTCTTAAGGTTAGTTTCACCAGATACAGGATTCAAGGTTGACAATTCTGTTTTCAGAACTTGAAATTGTGTTGCTTATTTCTCGACTCCATAATTTCCTTTACAGACAATGCTAAAATAGGATTTGTATTGTTTTTTTTCCTAGCTGTTTCTGCATTTAAAAATTTTTTTATCTTTAGTTTTCAAAAGATTAATGATAATGAATCAGCATGGATTTTAACTATCCTTTAACTTTTTGAATTATGTTTACATCTTTCTTGTACCAGCATTGCTACCAGTTGATCATCTTTTTAAATTTAGAGGATGGTTTTCCTGGTTTAGGGTATGGTAAAAGGTTTTCTACTGCATCCTGGACATTTTGGTTATGTTAAGTATTGCTGACTCCTAATTAAATCTTCTGTTTTAGCCGATAGTAGCCTGGTTTGGATGCATGTGTGGGTTCTGACCTTCTTTTGTGGATTTTAGTTCCAATGAAGCTCAGAGCCTTTGCAGTGTGATTCCTGGTCTGTCGTGTTCTTCAAGGTATATGGGCCTCCTGCTCAGTCCCCGCGGCTGTCTTCTGGTTCATCAGAAGGTGCTTCCCTGGGTTACATGATGTCATCGGGCCTTCTGCAGAGGGGTGGGCAGACATTGCAGGGCTAGGTGTCCAGATGCCACTGGGTGGGGTGGGGGGGCGGGGCGAGAGACACAGGGCTTCGTCACTGCAGCTGCTGCTGCTGAATAAGGCCACCTGCTGGTGCTTCAGGTCTCTGCTGGGCTTCCCCTTCCCTATTCTCCGGCCAGAGAAAGCAAGCAAGCTTTTCTTGTTCTGTTCTGTTTTTTTTTTTTCTTTTCTTTTCCTTTTTCTTTCTCTTTCTGTCTACATCTGTTGGTAGTTCTGGGTTACAGACCTCTCCAGAGCCCAGTATGGGGAATACGGAAGATTAAACCAACCCCAAGGAACTCACCCCCTTGTTGTTAGTCAAGTCCTGAGGTCCCTAGTCAGCCCATTGTCATCTTTTTAGCTTTCAGAGCGTTTTTATTACTGTCTGTTATACCTCCCAAAGGGGCCAGCCAATGGTGTGGTGACTAAGGCAGCTGGATCCCACATGGCTGGCTGCACGGTTTAAGTCTCAGACCCAAAGGCTTGCATGGGAAGCATGTGTGCCTGCATTTCCCCAAATCCTAGAATGGAGGAGAAGAGATGGCAGTATTTCCAAGGTATTTAGTTGTACTTAGAGGAGAGGAAGAAGTTATTCTACACCATCATGTTCTGAAACCACAAGACCGAATTTTAAAAGAAGCAATGACTGCAGAATGTGTTAAAAGGGTTGGGGGGAAATGGTGTATTAACTCTACCAAACAGAGAAATGCTGCTTATTGGCTCTTTACCTGATTCAAGAAAGAATTTCATGTATATGATGAAGTCAAGTGTTTGGATGTATGATCTTGAGATTGAGGCATGAACAGTGTGATACTGGGATAGCAGATGCACAGTTTGACTTGCCATTTTGTTGTTGTTGTTGTTGCTTTTGCTATAGGGTGCACATGTTTGCAGGAGACGGGGTGGGGGGGAGGGGGAGTGATGAATCACCCCCGGGGAGGTGAAGGATGGCCATGCCACAATCCCTTCTCTTCTTGGCATTTTGGGCATCTGCACACATGTGCATAGTGTGTTTTTCAAGCCACCACCAGGTCCAGGACTTGAATCATGAAGTTAGACAAGTGGGATCCAGTGACCTTAACCTCCACACTACCTGGCTGGCCCTGGCCACATGTTTTAAAGCATATATGTATTTGAACACACAACTGACATAACTAACACTTAACACATCTGAAGACTGCCTGTGAATGACAAGGTGGTTGCAACTTTCTTAAACCCATGTCCTGCAGGGGGTGAGGAGGTGGCAGGGAAGGTTACACATCACTGGATCAAGGAAGGCAAACAGGATTGACTTACTCTGTAATGCTGCTGGCAATGCTAACATTGTGTTCTGAAAGAGCCAAAGGCAGAGCCTAGATTCAATAGTACAGTGCCATCATCGATTAGTAATGTCTGCTACAGGTGCAAGAATAAGTGATTAAAACACATACGCTATCCATTTAACATCCCTGCTTTAGAAAATTCCTCTAGCACTCATATCCTTTCTGGTCATAGACACAAGCAGAAAACTTACCTGTGTTTGTGGGCCAATGGGGATGGGGTGGGAGGGTAGGAATATCTTGAAGAATTTGTAGTAAAGAGATTTGTTGGTGTGGGGGCCCAGAGTGATGATCTTTTGTAAAAATTTTACCCAGGGGCTCAAAACATATTACTGCTAGTTGAAATAAGACATTTACATACATCCCACCACTATATATTTGTAGACACATGTAGTTTTTTTTGTTTGTTTGTTTTTTAAGCAATACTTTGTCTCTCCTCACGAATAACAAAAACACCTCCAAGTGACCTCTGTTTCTGGGGGCCCTAGTCATTCTACTTTCACAGATCTAGTAGCAAACAGCTGCAGAAACAGAGTTACTTGGGGGTAGGGAGGCTCCCTGACAGGAAATAAAGCAAACATCCCATTTTAATACCTTGCTTTGTAATACACATAATGAGAATTGTCACCATTTCATCTGACAATTGTGGAAAAATATTGAGTAAGAGACCAAAAAAAAGTCTGTGGAGTAGTATAAAATACAGAAAAACATCACCCAGTGCTCAGTGAGTGTCAACACTAGAGGAAAAAACCACCCACATGGGACTTCCTAGAGTTGGTTAGGGTCTCTGCTATCTTGGGATGAAAGAGTAGGGGGATTTTCAAGCCATTTTGAGCCATTTTTTACTTAAGTGAGTTCTGCCTGTGAATGGACTTCGGATCCCAGTTTTCTTGCATAACAACTTTACATGTACCATTCACACCTCAAAAGGCAGCTCTCTCCCTGGCCAGGTTCTCTGTGGAACACATCAAGACCAACATCACTTAGTAAGAACGTAATACACTCCGAAACCTGCAGATGGTATGCTGGTTAAGGACCTGGGTGCACACCTAGGCGACTGCAGTTCAAATCCCAGGCCTGGCTGCTTGAAAAATCACACCAGGCAAGTCTGTGTACATGCCCAAAGTCCCAGGAAGAGAATGGAAGAGAAGGGATTGTGCCGTGACATCTCCCCTGGGCAGGGGTGACTTCTTACTTTCCCTCTCACTGTCTGTCTCTGTCCCTCTGGTGAGCACACTGGCCCAATGGTAAAAAACAAGAATAATAATCCAACACTCTGCCAATGCAGAGAAGACCCTGTCATTTTGCTAGAAAGTTCTGAAGAACATGATCCTATTAGGTAGGACTACCAGGTTTTGAGGAAAGGCGTTCTTGTATAAGAAGGTAAAATGAAAATTTCTAAATGAGAAGCAAACTTTCTCCCTGGTGCTTCACCTTTGCCCTGGCCTCCTCCTCTTCTCATGAGTGAAAGAGCTTGAAAATTTATACATGGGGCCAGCGTATGGCCTGGTAGTTAAGGGTGCTGGATCCCACATGGCCGACCACACTGGTTTGAGTCCCAGATCAGGTGGCTTGAAAAACTCATCAGGCACATATATGTGCATGCCCCAAATCCAAGAGATGGAGAAGGGATTATGGCATGACCATGCCCCAGGGGGAAGAATGCTTTCTCCCTCTCCCTCTATCTGTCTCTGGTGAGTGCACAAGCTCTCTGACAATTAAAAAAAGAAAAAAACTTTCATATGTAAGTAGATTCCATTCAGTCTTAGAAGTTATATCCATCCTTCATATTATTTTAAATTCTATCTATCCTTTTTTTTTTTTTTTTGCTATGGACACATGTGCTCACCAGAGAGAGAGAGAGAGAGAAAGTGACAAAGAAGGAGTATAGGCATGTTACAATCCTTTCTCCATTTCTTCTTGGGATTTTGGACACACATGCACACATGCCTGACACTTTTCTCAAGCTGTGAGGTCCGGGACTTGAACCACAAAGTTGACCACGTAGGATCCAACTATCTTAACTGTCACATCACCAACTAGCCCTTCCTTACTCTCTTCATGGGTAGTCTCAGTTCTGGGCCCATGGAAGAATAAGGCAGTATAATATAGTGGCTAAAGACCATCTCTGGTTAATTAGAAAGATTTAGGCTCAAATACTATAGGTCTGCTATATATATATATTTTTTTTTTTTTTTGAGAGAGATTTTTGCTATAGGGTACATGAGCTCACCAGAGAGAAAGTGAGAAATCACCCCCCAGGGTGATGACCAGATCACAATTCCTTCTCCTCCATTCTCCTCTCAGGATTTTGGGCATGCATGCATGCACATGCACCCAGTATGAGTTTCAAGCTGCTGGGTCCAGGACTCAAACCATGGTCAATAACGTGGTTACGCCATCTGCTGGTCCAGTAGATCTGCTATTTTTTTAAAGCTCTGTGAGACTGAGCACATTATTTAAATTTTCTAAGTCTTGTTCCTTTGTTTTTTCTCATTGGTATAATACAACGGTAACAATCCTACTTCATTGGCTTGACGCAATTGTCAAGGTAATGTACATAAAGGCCTTCTGCAGCACCCGAGACAGAATAAAGACCTACACACACTGGCTATTAACATGAAAAATTCTCTGAGCAGCCATGATATATCTGTGGGGACCAGCAGATGGCGTAATGGTTATATCATTCAGTTCAAGTCCGGGACCCAATGACTTAAAACTCACGCCAGGTGTGTGTGCATGTGTGTCTAAAATCCCGAGAGAAGAATGGAAGAGAAGGGACTGTGGCACGGCCATCCCTCTAGAGGGTGATTTCTCGCTTTCTGTCTCTTTATCTCTTCGGCAAGCACACGTGCCCTAGAGCAAAAAATCTCTTAAAAAAAAAAAAAAGAGATATCCTGTGTGACATTAATCACTTGAGCCCAGAGACTACCCACAAGGCCCACGCTCACTCTACAGACTGTTATTTTGACAGTCGGGATTGATTTATCATGCTTTAAAGATAGTTTTGATAGGAAGTCAGCTGGTTTTTTCACAATTTAGCAAAACAGGATCCTCAGTAATCTGAAGGCAGGGGCAGGCTGGAGCCAAGGCACTGTCAGTAACAGAAGGACAACTGGTGGGACAGGACTGAGAGACAAAGCAAGGACTCAATGTGTGGAGTCCGAGGGTACTTAGAAAGGGGGCAAGCAGCCTACATTCCTCAAGCGTCCCTGGAGGCACTGCTGTGTCATAGAATATACGGTAATTCTGTTGACATGAAGGGTGCCTACATCTCCCAGGAACAGTTCATGTAGGCCTGCTTCTTAAAAATGCAGAGAACCAGCACCAGCAGGTGGCATGGAGATTAAGGCACTAGATTCCCATATGGCCAGCCAGGGTTCGAGTCCTGACCCAGTGGCTTTTAAGGCATTTGCGGGGGTGTGGGTTCATGTCAGGTGTGTTGTGCATGTGTGCCCAAAATCCTGAGAGGAAGATGGAGAAGGGACTGCAGTATGGCCATCCCCTCTGGGTGGGGGGGTGATTTCTCACTTTCCCTCTCTCTCCAGTGAGCACACATGTCCTCTGGCAAAACCAAACACAAATGAACAAACAAAATAAGCAAAGAACCAAATTTCTATTACCTGGCAAGCACTCACCATCAAAAAAGGTTAAAATAACATTTTCAGTGCTTGAAGACAGGAATTTCAGTTACATGGACAATCCCCTTGGTAAAACAACTTAGCTTCCAACAAAATTGAGTCAATGAAGAATTGCTATGTTTATAAAGCTTAAACATCTCTGCAAATCAGTACTGTACACGTTAACTACTACCATCACTAAAAGACAGTGATTACTTAACTTTGGTACAAAGAATCAGGGTCAACTTGCCTGCGATACTTTAATGAATGAAATGGGTATTTTGTGATATGCCCCTTTCAATTCTTGACCCAAAGGGGCGCAGTGAAAAACAACAGACAAAAACAAAAGACTTCCCACAGATACTCTTCTTGATGACGGTTTGTGGAGAATTCCACCCTCTCTGCACTGAGGTTCCTTGAAGATTACATGAGGGTGGCCACACGTGATGGTCTTGAAGGTCCCCTGCAGCCTGGATGATCTGGATAGTTACCTGACCCAACTAACAGGTACCCAGTGAGTGTCCTTGCTCAGCTTCTCCAAGACCACTGTGAGCTGGCTGCATGCCCCCTGGAGGTCCTCCTTCACCAGCACTGTGTCCACCAGGTGCCCGTAGTGCTGGTCGATGAAGGCGGCAGAGGCGGCCATCTCTTGCTGTTCCTCATCCTGCAAGGAAAGGGGCAGTTTGGAGCAACTGGACAGTCCTCCCGTAAGAAACCTATAGCCTCCGTCATAGGCCAAATGCCAGCCTTTAATGTTGAAGTGCAGAGCACGTGACTGTGCTCCACTCATAACCATGGTGTACACAAGAACAGAACGCAGTGACGATATTGAATTAGACTTCCGAGAAAGTTCGAGAGCAGCAGAATAATCATTGTCCAGTCATTCACTCAAAAAACATCTCCTGAGGACCTGTGAGTCTCAGTCCCGGGTCCAGGACTCAAACCCAGGTCCAGCTCCTTAACCACTACACCACCTGCTGGCTAGGATATCGAGTGCTTTGGGGGGGGGGGGTGCTGATTTCATGTCTGTGCACACGTCAATATCATACTTCCTGCTCCCAAAGTACTTCTAAAATAGCAGTACTATTGTATTGCATGGCAATCAGTGTACAGGTTAAATAAGACAGAACTATAAATAATGTTAATTACATGAAAGCAGGACCAGCAGATGGCGGAATGGTTACATCGCTGGACTCTCCCATAGTGGACTACAGTTCGAGTTCTGGAACCGGTGGCTTAAAATTCAAGCCAGGCTCGTATGCGTGCGTGCCCAAGATCCCAAGAGGAGAATGGAGGGGAAGGGATTGCAGCATGGCCATCCACCTGGGGGGTGATTTTTCGCTTTCTGTCTCCTTGTTTCTCTCTGTCCAGTGATCATGCATGTCCTATAATAAAAATCTCTCTCTCTAAAAAATAAAGAACTATATAAAAGCAAAAGCAAGCATTTCTGGAATCAACTAGGGGAAGAAGGAGAATCAGTCATTCTAAAGCCCTTCTGAAGACTCCTTAATTCATAATGTACAAATATTTTTCATTCCCTCACACCAGGGCCAAACGTCAGCACAGCAGACAGAGTGAAGTTACTTAAGAAAGTGCTGGGACAACTCTGATCAAGTTCCCCATTTCCTTAGGGTATCTGATTTGACTAGTCACACTGCTTCCCTGACACCTGGTGTTAAGAACAGACAACAACCCTATCTCCAAATGTGGTCTGGGGTCTGCCTATACACATCAAATCTCGTGGAAGATTTGTGCTGGGCCAGTTAGTAGCATGATGGTTAAGGCACTGGATCCCACAAGGTCTACTGCACATTCAAGTCCTAGGCCCAGTACCTTGGAAAACACACCAGGTGCATGTGTGTGCATGACCAATATTCCAAATGGAGGCGAAGGGATTGCAGTGTGACCATCCCCCATGAAGGGGATGCTTTCTCATGTTCCTTCTCTTTCTGTCTCTCTCAGGCAAGTGCACGCATCCTCTAGCAAATTATAATTATTTTTAAATGTACTAAAATTCGAGATGCCAGGACCAGCTGTGGTGATGTATACAAGTAAGATTCTGTAGTACTCTGTGGGCTTGAACCACATGGGAGGCACAGGTTTGATTCCTCGTCCAACCTAAGGGCCAGCCATGGTGGCATATGCCTGAAATCCCAGCAGATTAGGAGGCTGGGGATTGGCAGCTCAAAGCATGCCTGAGCAACATAGGAAAGCACATCTGAAAAAGAGCCAGGTGTGAAAACAGCAGATAGTGTAACGGCTATGTCGCTGGACTCCCATGTAGTCAACCGCAGTTCGATCCCTGGACTGGGTGGCTTAAACTCACGCTGGGCATGTGTGCGTGTGTGCCCAAGATCCTGAGAGGAGAATGGAGGAGAAGGGATTGGGGTGTGGCCATACCCCCTGGGGGGTGATTTCTTGCTTTCTGTCTCTCTATTTCTCTGTCTTTCTGGTGAGCACACACGCCCTATAGCAAAAACCTCTCAAAAAAAAAAAAAAATGAGCCAGGTATATGGCATACGCCTGTAGTCCCAGCTAGGAGGCTGAAGCAGGAAGATTGTGACAGCAAGACCTTGTCATTAAAAAAAAAAAGAAGAAGGAACTGGCGATGCCTGAGTTCCACTCTAAACCCCAAGGCCAAGTGTGAGAAGAGCAGGAGTCTGTATCTGGACAGCCTCACTGTGACCTTGATGCACACACGTGCTGGGAACAAGCACGGCTTCGGGGTAGTGGGTGACATCTGCAGATAGAGGAGCAAGGTGCACAACTAGCGGGCAGACTGACCTGCAGCTGACAAATCTATCAGCTGCTGCAATGCATCATAGCCTCCTGCTTGCAAAGCAGCATTCTGGTGGGTAATAAGGGAGATGGACTCGATGGCATAACTGCCCAACGCGGAAGACAATGGTAAAGCCTACAGTTCTGTTCCTCTCGAAATGATAGCTACAGTCCAGGGAGGGTCCTGACACCTGTTTTTTTTTGCATTCCTGGGGCCCTGGTGATTTGGCACAATTTTTTATGTCCTAGGAAGCTGCCCTCTTTTTGTTTTAGAGTTATTTATCTGATGTTATTATTTTTTAAAATTTGCTATAGGGTATGTTTGCTCACCAGAGAAACAGAGAGGGAAAGTGAGAAAGCAAACTACTTAGGTCCGGTACTTGAACTATGGTCAGCCATGTAGGAGTCCAGCATACTAACCACTATGCCACCTGCTGGCTCCAGAAGCTGTCCTAATAATCTTCCTTTTGTCTTCTTAAAACACTAAGCCAGGACCAGCGGTTGGCATAATGGCTATGTCGCTGGATTACCATGTAGTCGACCACGGTTTGAGTCCCGGACCCAATGGCTTAAACTCACGCCAGGTTCATGTGCGTGCATGCCCAAGATTCCAAGAGGAGAAGGGAGGAGAAGGGATTACAGTGTGGCCATCCCCCTTGGGGATTGATTTCTCACTTTCTGTCTCTCTGTCTGTCTCTGTCTTTCTGATGAGTGCACATGCCCTATAGCAAAAACCTCTCCAAAAAACAAAAAATAACAACAATAACAAAAACTAAGCCTTTCACATCCCAGTTAGTAAATTCTTTCAATCCTAAAATAAATGTAAAACAAAATAAAACCAAAATTATATTTTTTGGGCCATTGGGAAAGTCTTGGCACATTTTTGCATAGAAAAACAATAGAAAAATCATATGACTTTTCCAGTGACCCAATAGTAAAACATATGGACAAAATGATCCTAAAATCCACATGAAATGCAAGGAACCCAGAAGAGCTTCTGTTTTTGGAGAGGTTTTTAGCTATAGAGAGCGTGCACTCACCAGAAAGACAGAGAGAGACAGAGAGATAGAAAGCGAGAAATCACCCCCCCCTGGGGGGGGGGGATGGCCACGCCACAATCCCTTCTCCTCCATTCTCCTCTCGGGATCTTGGGCACACACGTACACATGCCCAGAGTAAGTTTAAGCCACCGGGTCCAGGACTCAAATCGCAGTTGACTACATGGGAGTCCAGCGACATAGCCATTACGCTAACTGCTGGTCCCATCTTTTAAAAGACCAAAGTTGGGAGACCAGCAGGTGGCACAGTGGTTAAGGGTGCTGGACTCCCACATGGCCGACCGTGGTTTGAGTCCTGGACCTAGTGGCTTGCTTTCTCGCTTGTTCTCTCTCTCTCATTCTGTCCCTCTCTGGTCAAATATAAATAAATAAAGTTAAATAAAAATAATACTTAAAAAAAAGAGTTGGAAGACTCATACTTTCTGGTTTCAAAACTTACTACAAAGCTACAGTAATCAAGGCAGTGTGTTACTGACATATGGACAGGCATGTTTTGGGTTGCTCAGAAAGTCACAATGCAATTTTGCATAGAAAAATACATCATAACTTTCCCAATGACCTAACAGACCAATGGGATGGAATTGAGAGTCTAGAATATACTTACTTTTTTGGCCAATTGATTTTTTAAAAATGATTGTTTTATTCAACTTTATTTATTTATTTTAATTTGGGCAGAGAAGGGCAGAGTGAAAGAGAGAGAGAGAGAAAGCAAGCTGCCAGGTCTGGGACTCAAACTGCAGTTGGCCATGTGGAAGTTCAGCACCTTTAGCCACCAGCCACCTGCCGGCCCCCTGGCCAATTGATTTTTGACAAAGGTCACAAGATAATTAAATGAAAAAAGGATATTCTTTTTAATAAGTAGTGCTAGGACAACTGGATATTTACATGTAGACAATAAAACTGGATCTCTATCGCATATAGAAATTAACTCAAAGTGGATAGACGTAAATGTAACTGATAAAACTATAAATCTTTTAAAATAAAATAAAGGTTTAATTTTTGTGACACTGGATTAGACCATGGGTTCTTAGATATGACACCAAAACCATAAGCAACAAAAGAAAAACATTCATTAGACTTCATCAAATTGAAAAGTTTTGTTTCAAAGGACATTATCAAGAAAGTAAAAAGAGGAACCAGCAGTTAATATAATGGCTATGTTGCTGGGCTCCCATGTAGTCGACTATGGTTCGAGTCCCAAACCTGGTGGCTTAAACTCACGCCGGGTGCATGTGCGTGTATGCCCAAGATCCTGAGCGGAGAACAGAGGAGAAGAGATTGAGGCGTGGCCATCCCCCCTGGGGGGTGATTTCTCGCTTTCTGTCTCTCTGTCTTTCTGGCGAGCTCACACGCCCTATAGCAAAAACCTCTCCAAAGGAAAAAAAAAAAAAGAAAGTAAAAAGATAGCCCACAGAATGGAAGAAAATATTTACAGTCATGCATCTGATAATGGACTGGTGCCCAGAACATATAAATAATCCTCACGGGGCTAGCAGGTGATATAGTTAAGGCACTAGACTCTCACATGGCCAACTATGGTTTGAGTCCTGGACCTGGTGGCTTAAAAATCACGCCAGGAACGTGTGCATGTATGCCCAAAATCCCAGGAAAAGAATGGAAGAGAAGGGATTGTGGCATGGCCCATCCCCCTGGAGGGTGATTTCTCACTTTCTCTGTCTCTCTCTGGAGAGTACCCATGCCCTATGGCAAATACCTTTTAAAAAAATTGTACAACTCAGTAATAAAGACAATCCAATTTTGAAATGGGGCCTAGTCACAGTAGCCCACAGATAGTGCAGGCTAGAAGCTGCATAGGGGGCCCAGATTCTGTTCCTAGGCCAATCTAAACATGCTGGGCACAGTTGCACGCACCTGTCAAAAAACACTCAACACTGCCCAGCCCCTGTGCTTCGGCCTGCAGTGTACCAGACTGAAGAGCTGGAAGTCACATGCTGATAGTGGCTGGCGTCCCTGGCCTGGTTGGCCTGCAACACACCAGGAGCCTATCCACATGCCCAGGAGCCTGGCAGGCTGGAGGGCTGGAGGAAGGGAACAGTAGAATAACTAAGCCCTGTAAAGGGTGTTTCTTTCTCTATCTCTCATGATAGAAATTAATTTTATTGTGAATTAAAAAAAAAAATATATATATATATATATATATATATATGCTTATCTCTGTCTCTCTTCTTTCCTTTTGACTCTTTTCCTCTCTGTCACAATGGGGAAAAATTTTTTTTTTGCATTAGTGAAATGCAAATTAAAGCTGTAATGAACAATACTTCACACTCGCTAATATTCTATAATCAAACAGACAATAACAAGTGCTGGTGAGAATGGGGAGAAATTAGAACCCTTGAACACTGCTGGTGGGACTGTAGTTGCTTCAAATATTACACATAGTTACCATATTACCAGCAATTCCATAACTATTGAGTTGTCAGGCCCAATATGTACACACCCGAGAGAAAAGAAAATATACTCACACAAAAACATGTATATGGGGACCTGCAGATGGTGCAGTGGTTAAGGCGCTGGATACTCCCACATGGCCAACCTCAGTTTGAGTCCTGGACCTGCTGGCTTGCTTTCTCACTTTCCTTCTCTCTGTCTCTCTCTCTCTCTCTCTCTCTCTCTGAGGCCAAATTAAAATAAATAAATGAATAAATAAAAATTAAACAACTCTTTAAAAAGTGCACATGGATGATCACAGCCTTATTCATAATATCTAAAAATGTAGAAACACTCCAATGTCCGTTAACTGATGAATAAGTTAAACAAAACATGGTGTGTCCAATGGAATATCAGTCATGAAAAAGAATGAAGTGTACTGTTACGTGAACTAATCTTATAAATGTTACACTAAGTGAAAGAAGCCAGATACTAAGTCACACGATGTATTATTCCTTTCATACGAAATGTTTAGAATAGACAGGAAAAGAAGAGACAAAAAAATTGTTTAGAATAGGCTAATCCATAGTGACAGAAAATAGATTGGTGGCTGCCTGAGGCGAGGCAGGGTCTAGAAGGAAACAGAAGGCAGAATTCTTGGGTTCAGGGTTTCTTTTGGAGATTATGACAATGTTCTGAAACTGACTGTGGTATTGGCACCAACTGTGACTATATCATTGAACTGTACTCTTTAACTGGGTGAATAGTGTGGTATGTGAATTTTACCTCAATAAAATTGTTAACTGCCTCCTGCAAAAAAAACACATAAGAAAATGCAGACAAGAAAATAAAATCAGTTACGAGCCCACTATTCAGAAAGAATCACCTGTAGCATTTTAGTGTAGGCACACACAAAACCGGAAGCGAACTTTTTAACTGTCTGATCTATGTTCACTTAACATTTTACTATACTTGGCTATGTCATCATATATTCCTCAAACACATAACTTTAAACTGGCTACATAATACTCCATTCTACCCTGTGAATTTTTGTGTACTGTTGTAGTGTACAGAACTGAGGCCCATTACTGGACATCTAGATTGTTTCTGGCTTTTTGCTGCTGTTGTTGCCACCACCACAATGAACACACTGTATGTGTTTGTTTGTTTGAATTTTTGTTAAATAATGATTTACTTAATTTTATTTATTATTATTACTATTTTAAATTTGCTGTAGGATCTGAGCATTCACTAGAGAGAAAGAGCAAGTAAGAAAGAAAGCTGCCAGGTCCAGGACTCAAACTGTGGTTAGCCATGTGGGAGTCCAGCACCCCAACTACTATGCCACCTGTCGGCTCCCATGCTGTATTTTTTTTTTTGGAGAGGTTTTTGCTATAGGGCACATATGCTTGCCAGACAGAGAGAGAGAGACAGAGAGATAGAAAGCGAGAAATCACCCCCCAGGGGGGATGGCCACGCCACAATCCCTTCTCCTTCATTCTCTTCTAAGGATCTTGGACACACACACATACGCGCCCGGCGTGAGTTTTAAGCCACTGGGTCCGGGACGTGAACTGCGGTTGACTACATGGGAATCCAGCAACATAGCTATTATGCTAACTGCTGGTCCCGATGCTGTATGTTTTTAAGTGGCTCCAGACTCAAGCTGACGTTCCCTTTGGAGTTTTTTTTTTTTTTTTTTTTGCTACAGGGCGCGTGCGCTCGCCAGACAGACAGAGAGAGACAGAGAGAGAGAAAGCAGGAAATCACCCCCCAGGGGGGATGGCCACGCTGCAATCCCTTCTCCTCCATTCTCCTCTCGGGATCTTGGGCACGCATGCACACGCGCCCGGCGTGAGTTTAAGCCACCGGGTCCGGGACTCGAACCGCGGTCGACTATGTGGGAGTCCAGCGACATAGCCATTACGCTAACTGCTGGTCCCCCTTTGGAGTTTTGAAAGTAGAAAACTTCTAATGATCCTTCTAGTCATGTCATGCTAAGTCATTTATCAATGTAGACAATTAAAACAATTATTGATAGTATGAACTAGGATTGCATCAAAAATCTTTACTTGGGGCTGATCCTATAGCATAGTGGTTAGGGGAAAAGGATTCCACAGGGCTAACCAGGGTTTGAGTCCCAGATCCCATGACTTGAAAAACATGCTAGGCATGTGCCCAGGGATGGAGAATTAGAGAAAAAGAACTGCACCGCAACCAGGCCCCATTGAAGAGTTCTTTCCCTCTCTCTCTCGTGTATGCACACACATCCTCTGGCATTAAAAAAATAAAAACCTTTACTTGGAAGGATCTTCTTGTCCAAGGCAGGGGGATCTGAGAGGTTCCTTCAGATGGAAGGAACTATACTATAGTTCCATCTATACTACTGGACAGCAAAGCGAAGTCTATGCTGGGACTGGGTTGCTTCTGATGCCCCCATAACAACTTCCAGCCCATTCTCCTAACCTATCCTATTGAGAACCAAGAATAGGTGAGTGCCACCAAGCCCATCCCTCCTGGAAGAACTCTGGCAAACATTTGGGTTTTGGATCGGGATGGTCCCGACATAGACTGAGCTGAACAAAGAACCTATGACAGTGAAAAAGAAATTCATTTAGGAACACACTGGCTTAACTCATCCACTAGTTTTCAAAACAGACTAGTGTTTAAAAATTCAAACTAACTTGGGGGCCAGCAGTTAGCGTAGCGTAATGGCTAGGTCGCTGAACTCCCATGTAGTTGACCATGGTTCGTGTCCCGGATCCGGTGGCTTAAAACTCATCCCGGGCGCGTGTGCGTGCATGCCCAAGATCCCAAGAGGAGAACGGAGAAGGGATTGCGGCGTGGCCATCCCCCCTAGGGGGGTGATTTCTCCCTTTCTGTCTCTCTGTCTGTCTCTGTCTGGCGAGTGCATGCGCCCTATAGCAAAAAAAGAAAACCTCTCTCGAAATAAAAAAAAATTCAAACTAACTTGAAAGCAATGGTAATCACCTTGTTAATTGGTGTTTCAGTTGAAAAATACTTGGATTTGGCTTAGGAATTCAACCAATGAGTGTGGTTTGTCACATGGTTTGTCACAATCAGATCAGGCCCCTGACCCATGTCAGCCCCTTATACTGGGGGAGTGGGAGGGAGTGAGGTTGGGAGAGCAGCCAAAACCACCCCTGCCTGGCTGTCCCACCTTGAGCCTTCTGGCCCTGTGGAACGGGGTCTATGCAGAGGGTCTGTCCAGCAGCCCTCTCCGGCTGCAAACATCCTTATATACAATAGCTGGGCCCTTTCCCCCTTCTAGGTTTTCAGAACAGAAACGATTGACTTTAAACTTACAAGTGGGGTTGCTGTGTCCTCACAAGCTGGGGACATAGGTGGTGTCCTCCTCTTTTCCTGAATTGCAGGCTTTACAAATATAATATAGGGCTTGAACTCTGGAGTCCTCAGTTGTTTCAGTGCCTAAGAAGGGAAGGATAGGAATATTATACACTTTTGAAATACTTGATTGTGAAATATGCTTTTGGAAAGCCCAGTCATCACCTGTTCAACCCCACATCCTCCATAGTAAAGGTCCTAATGACACTGGTCCTGTGACAATGGACTTCACCTGGGCAGACCAACTGTTCGTTTTCTGTCCTTCACTTTGACAATGACTCAGCTGGGCCCACCGGCTGAGAACAGAAGGTTCCAAAGCCTCAGCTCAGGCAGCGGCCGTCTCTCTACTCTGGCCCCTCCAGCCCTAATTAACCTGCGTGTGCTCTCATCACCCGCCTGCTCCTGATGGACAAGAGCAGAGCGGTCTATCCTTTCAGACCAATGCATCAATCTAGACCACACTTGTGCAGATCCGACTGTTAATTAGTGCACGGTATCTATTTTCAAAAACGGTATTAAACTGCTAGATGCATGATCTGCACAACAAAATCAATAAAATCACTTTTCAAAGCAATCTTTCTGGGGCCAGCCATGGCATGGTAGTTAAGGTGGCTGGATCACACATGGCCAACTATAAAAGTTGGAGTCCCACTGTGAGGCTTGAAAAACATGCCAAGCATGTATTATGAATGTCCAAGATCCTAAGAGGAGAATGGAGAAGGGATTGTGATGTGGACATCCCCTCTAGGGGGTTCTCTCTCTCTCTCTCTCTCTCCTCTCTCTGATGAGTGCACCTGAGTCATAGCAAAAAAACTTAAAAATGTTTTCGAATTTACTTTGGGACTGGCCCCATTATAACAGTGGTCAAGCCCTGGGCATAGAGAGAAGAACCCCACATATCCCACCATGGTTCAAATCCCAGCCCCAGTGGCTTGAAAAACACACCAGGTACATGTGTGTGCCCCAAATCCTGATGGGCTGGAGGAAAAAGAACTGTGGTGTGACCACCTTCCACTGGGGGTGCACACATTTTCTCTCCATCTCTGTCTGTCTGGGGAGGACAATGTGCCCTCTGGCAATGAAAAATAAAAAAAGTTGCTACCCAATAGGGATAAGGTGGAATGGATGTTCCAGAGTCCCACAATGTCCACTATGCTGCACAAAAATATTAAAAAGAAAGAAATTAGACTTTGAATTTTGACTATCAACTCCCAGTGGATCCAAATTAGTGAGGGTTTCCTCTTTTGGCATGTGCTTTTTGGAACAGGTTTCAAGCGAACTGCTATAAAATAAAGCCCACAGTTTATATCATAAAATCACAGATCTGTTTCTACAGAGAAAAAAAAAAAGTCCCCAGATGGAGTTCAAAGCTTGGAAGTTTTTTCTGAAAGACAAGGTTAAAAAGACAGTTAAGCCCCAGCTGAGCCTGCAGCATGCTGGGTGTGCAGGACTGGCAATGTTTTTGAAGCACTTCCCAAGGTCATGTCTCCCTCTGTGTCTTTTCCTTTTAAACTGCTCTCCCGACCGCCTCCCTCAGGGTTTCCTAAGCCACTGACTTCACCTGTCTAGGTAGGTGGGAGATGGCCGGGTGCCAGTGCTCAGGTCCAGCCTTGCCAGGGTACTTACACCTAATTCTCTGTCACGATGCAATTGGCCACCTTCTACTGCATGCTTGGCCCCATGCAAGGGGTACTATCCTGGGCCTGTGGGCCACCAGTGGGTCCGTGAGCCCCCTACAATCAATGCAGTACCTGTGGCTAGAGCTGCATGTTTTGGGGTACAGTTTTCACTGGAGTCTCAAAGGGAAACCTAAGGAAATTTGACATCTGGCGTTCTAAGCTAAAAATTCCTCAGAGGTGTAGGTGGTGGTACAGAGGTAATACTGGATCATTGGGAAAGACATGACACAAGTTTGGCATTGAAAAACATATGTCATGACTTTCCTGACAACCTATACAGCTGGATTCATGTGAGAAAGGGCCTGGGTTCACATCCTGGACCTCTCTGAGCACATAGGGCATATAAGCACGTGACCGTGACCCAGGCTGGCAGAGACGGGGGTGGAGTGTGCTGGAGGACTCTGTCCGGGATGCCTGTCTTTCTCTTAAGAAATAAACTTCATAACAATTTTTTTAAAAAAAACCTTTTTTTAAATTAAAATCCCTTAGATTGAGATCAAGTGTTCTGTAAAATGTACAATCCCCAAGGCTATAAATTCCATTAAATGGAATGCTCAGCTGGCCCAGTAACTCACTTCCGGTTCCACGTCCACCAAACACATTTTGTTTTTGGCCATAACAGCCTGAATAGCCTCCAGGCTGGTCCCGTAGAGATTTTCCTTATATTCGCCATGCTCCAGGAATCTAGAACACCAGCAAAGGGGAAAGACCTTTAGTTCCTGAGCTTTCCTACCTTAGCAAAGAAAAGCAAATCGACTTCCCAACACCATCTCTCCCGCTTCCCCCGTCCTTTCTGGAAGCCCTCCCAGGAAGTCAAGTGGAATCGTGGACAGAGACAGAGACACACAGGCCCATCATGCAACGTACTTGTTGTGCTGTAAGTCGGCCTCAAATGCTTGCCTAGAGACAAAGTGATATTCCACCCCTTCCTTCTCATGGCTCTTTCGGGGCCTGGTGGTATCTTTTAAAGACAGAAGAAGGAAAGCTGGGCAAAGAGGTGTCACATCACTGTGAGTGGGAACAGCAGCAAGCCTGCACCTCCTTCAGGAGTTTATCGCTGATCGGGTACATAAGCCAAGCACTTCCATGCACCAAGGTCCCAGTGCAGGCATCCCTGTACATGCCCTATAGCAAAAATTCTCTAAAGAAAACATAAAAGGCATTCCACCCTTTCCAGACGTATCACTGATTTGCACAACTCTTCGATAAAGACCAAAGGACACCTCCCCTTTTGCAGCTGAGGAAACTGAGGTGCAGAGAGGTTAAGCTCTGTGCCCAGCTGGTAGGCAGCAGAGCCAAGGTCAGTCTGCTCATGTGCCATGAGCCCTCTGCCACACTGTCTCATTAAAGCTGTGGCTTTTAGGGGCCAGCAGTAAGCGTAATGGCTATGTTGCTGGACTCCCATGTAGTCGACCGTAGTCCGAGTCCCGGACCCAATGGCTTAAACTCATGCTGGGCACGTGTGCATGCGTGCCCAAGATCCCAAGAGGAGAATGGAGAAGGGATTGTGGTGTGGCCATCCCCCCTGAGGGGTGATTTCTCGCTTTCTGTCTCTCTGTTTTTCTGGTGAGCGCATGTGCCCTATAGCAAAAACCTCTCAAAAAAAAAAAAAAGCTGTGCCTTTTAAAGAATCTTGAGGGGCCCCCAGTCCTGGCTTTTATTTCTTCATTGGTTCTCTTTTTAAGAGCAGAGTGGTCACAGATGTATTTGACCCTGCTGTATGCTTTTAAGCCTTTATCTAATTACTTCTCATTCTGAGGGAAAAAGAGACCTGGATACAGACAGTCCCTTTATGGATTAGATGTGTTTCAGCAAAGCTGGGCCTAACCAGGTCCCCCACAGAACAAGAGCACACACAAAGCAACACAGCATTTTCCAAAAGAAAAGATGGGGTCCAGGAGAGCAGTGCTTTCTGGGCTTGGTGGCCATGGGATCTTAGTTCACCCTCTAGTAGAACTGCAAGGATCTCTTCTGACTACGTATTGGGTCATTGGAAAAAATAATGACATATTTTTTGTTTTTCTATGCAAAAATACATCATGACTTTTATGACAACCCAATTATTTCTTTGCTTGAAAACCTTCATTCATATGGGGCCAGCAGATGGCATAACAGTTATGCCACTGGACTCCCACATGGCAAACCATGGTTTGAGTCCCAGACATGGCAGCTTCAAACTCACACCAGACGCATGTGCATGGGTGCCCAAAAATCCCAAGAGGAGAGTGGAGGAGGGGATTGTGGTGTGGCCATTCCCCTGGGGGGAGTGATTTCTCACTTTCTGTCTCTCTATCTGTCTATATCTCTCTCTCTCTCCAGCAAGTGCATGTTCCCTATAGCAAAAATTTCTCTCTTTGAGAAAAAAACAAAAACAACTTTCATTCATTCACTGATTATATCCTCAGCACCTTCAATGACTATGTAAGACCCCTGTGATCAGTCGACCTCCAGCTGCGCTTCATCTCCTGCCAGGTCAGCCACACTCATGTCCCGAACCTCTAATGCTGCCACTAATGTCCTTTCACACATACATTTCCTTTCCTTTCTGCCTGGAACTCTTATTTACTCCTCAAAACCCAGCCTAAGTCTGCCTCTAGGAAGCCTTCCCTGACTCCTCCAGTTTCTAAAACCAAGGGGTAATGCAGGTGGTCCTGACCACACAGATACCCCTTCCCCAAGGAACAGATCCAAGGGTTTCGGAGTGACCTGTGTGGGAGCACCTCCTGCAGGTCCTGCTTCAGTCTACTTGAAATCTAGAAGGCTATGGATCCCTGAGGCCTTCCAAGTCCCTCACAGATCTGTGCCAGAATGGCCTCCCCAACCCTGCCGCCTCCCCTGAACCCTGCCATTTCATGTTGGGCTCTAGATGATTCTGACAACCTCCCAACTAGGCTATGGGCCCAGAGGCACAGGGAAGGGCAGTAGGTAAAAGAGTCTTGGCAGGTCTCTGTCCCAGAATACTCTGGAAAGGTCTTGTTACTGCTACCATAGTGTCCCTTCTCAATGGCCAACAGACATCCCTAGTCCATCCGTCTGAGGACAGAGAGACCAAAAATAAGTCCCAGAAAGAGACGGGGCAGCCAAAGACAGGAAATGGCTTTCACCACTTACACAACTGTGTTACACTGGGCAATTTACTTAACCTCTCTGAGTCTCAGCATCGTCTTCTGCAGTGTAAGATAACAATCCCTCTTCCATAGGTACCGGGAGGGCTGGCCACGTTACTGCACATAAAAGCTCTTGGCATAGTGCCAGGCCTTCTTCACGATCCTCCTCATCATCACATTCACAGCCAGGAACCCGTGTGCACCCCACCACTGCGTCTTGGTATCCCCAGCTGCCACTGGTAGCAGAAAGCCTTGGGAATCAGCAGAGGTGGCATCCCAGGATTGTACCCAGCCACCCTAACAAGCTAGAATCCAGCTACACAGGGATCCCAAGAAGCACCCAGGCTGAGCTCTCTGGCCTGGCTTATCCAAAGCAGAGGGCAAGGGACAGAGGAGCCAGTATTACTGGGAAGCAAAGGCTAGAACAGCCCCGATGGTGGGCCCCTTGCTATGAAGCTGAGTTTGTCCCTTGGCCTGCAATGTGCTCTGGACTCACCTCCCACCCAAGGCAAGAACCAGGTAGGTGGTCCCCCAGTTGCTGCCTCAGAAGGTCCTGGTGGACCACCCAGAATGTGTCTCTTCCCTCCATGCTTAGGTTTCCCCCTGTGCATATAGCAGGTAGAGCTGGCAGTCCCTCAGACCAAAAGTACGGACTAGGATGGGTACGAGTAAGGCCCCCATGAAATACCAGTGTGCGTGCACACACATGCACCCACACACACGGGCCCTTACGTGGAACGGCAACACCAAAGTGCTGTGGGTTCTCAGCCACCACCTTTTGCTTCAGCTCATGCAGTCGGGCACCCAGAGACCCTGGGAAACAAAGAGAAAGCTGACCAGGGTCCCCATGAAGCTCCCTCCCTTCTCTTCCAGGCCATCTCCCCACCCCAAATCCCAGGATGTCACCTACCAATCAGAACCACCAGGCGGGGCCGCTGGCCGGGCTGGTGCTGGTACCTGGCCACCTCCTCGTAGGTCAGCAGCTCCGGAGACTCAGCTACAGCAGACATCTTTCCTTCCTGCGAGCTCCCTGGCCTCTCCCTGCAGCCCAGCCGGAAGCTCCTCCGAAGACCAGCTTGGGGCAGGGGCACAAGGACACTGTGGTATTTGTCCCAGGATCTCCCAGTAGAGCCTTTCTGCACCTGACCGGCCCTGGAGGTGGGACTGAGTCCCACTGAGCTCCCCAAACCCGCTTCTGATGGAAGGCTGACCTGGCATCCCCAAACTAGGACTCAAGGTCACTGTTTTACTTGGCATGAGATTGGCCTTGGGAGAGTTTCTTCCTTTTGCTGAACCTCCATTCTCTTATCTGTGAAAGAGGGATACAAATCTATAAATGCAACTTTTGGTCCTAGATTGGGTTTTGGATAGAAGGAAATGCTCTAAAGAACGTTACTGAGACAACTGGAAAAATGCTAATAACAGTATATGAGACAACAGGATTGTCCGCATGTTAAATCCCCAGAATCTGATCACTGTCCTGAAGTTATAAGAGAAAATGTCCTTGTCCTTAGGAAATGCATGCCTGCGGTATTTAGGCATAAAGGAACATGGTGTCCGCAGCAAAGTGTCACATGACTCAGGAGAAACATGGAGAAAACAGGGATAAAGCCAAGATGGTAAATGGTGAGTAACGGGCGAATCGGGGCCTAGAGTCTATGGGGTCCTTTGTACAAGTCTTACAGCTTCCAAGAAGTCTGAAATCACTTCAAAATAAGTTTAAACTTTTTGTCTGTCTCTAAGGCTTTGAAAAAACGATCACAACAAAAGAAGTGAAGGTATTTGGGAGACTAGTAAAAGGTTCCCTCGCTGTATGGCAGCATTACCGCTGAATAGTCTCTAGTTAAGATGATGACAATAAGGAAATGACATGAATGCAGTGGTCTCAGTCCCCTCCCTTCCAGGGCTCTGCACCCTGTGTTTGGGGGAAGCTGGGGCTGAGTGGTAGCCCCTCTGACCCAGGCAGGCTCAGCCCCTCCTCTGGCTGATGGACTGAGCAGGGGTGTGGCCCAATAGGCTCAGCTGCTCTTGGAGGGCTCCTGGGACTCAGGTCACTCTGCCTGTGTCCCTCCCTGACTGGGGCTCAGGGTCGGGGGGAATGAGAGGGGAGGGAGGTGTCAGGGCCAAGCCCTTGCTACTCACCCACATAGTGCCCTTTGAGGTACCCCTCACAGTCACAGGTCTCTGGGAACCAAACAGAGGGAGAGAGATGAGTGGGGCTCACTGACATACCCTCCGGTTCAGGGGGACCCAGGCCCTGGATGGCCAGGCAGAGCTCTCTGGGAAAATGTCTCCAGGGGAATGCAGGAGAAATTCCACGTCCTGGCCATCCGGGACCACAGCTGTCTGGCTCAGTCCTCCATGCTCGGGCCCCTACCAGCCTTTCCAGCCCTGAAGTAGTTCTGGGCTGCAGGCCCCTTCCCAGTCCCTCCATCTCACATACTGACATTTTAATAACAGCATCTAGAACAATAAGACAATAGAATTGTCTGCATGCTAAATTCGGAGAATTTGATCACTGTCCTGGGGTTACAGAAAACGTCCTTGTAGACATGTCCTGTGAGGAGGGAGGAGTGGCTCTTCCTTGCCCCACTCTCCTGCCTTCTGTGCCCTACCTCACCCAGTCACACAGTCAGCACAGGGAGCTCCCGAAGGCTGGGACATGTGTGACGGGGGCCAGAGAGGGCCCAAGGCCTTGAGCCCCGTCCCCAACAGCCCTGCATGCCTCAAAGAACAGGCCTGGCCAGCTGCAGAGCAGGAAGAGGAGTGTGAAGAAATGGAAGGCACAGCCACCCGGAAGGGAGAAAGGGAGACTAGCCCTTCGGCCCCGATGGTCCACAGGAAAGGGGCCCTCTCGTGTCACAGAGGACAAATACCGGGCCTACCTTTGTCACAAGGCTGATCATCTGCGGTTTGCACAAAAGACAGATGGAACGGCGTTAGTGGGGGGAACCAGGACGCCCTACGGCTGAGAGGCCGCCACAGCCTCAGGTGCCTGAGGAGCCCTCCATCTGGCCCCTCGCTTTCCTCCCACAAACCTGTGATCTGAGCTGCAGTATGTTATTAAACCCCAAGACCTGCTCTAATTATTCTTCATGTGTGTGTCTCATTAGCAGCCCGGAGAAAGCCAGCTCCTCACTGGCGTAAGCAGCCTCAAGGCCAATTTACTCAGCAGCCTCCCAACGTGACAGCGTCTGGGAAGAGGGCACTGGGCATGGCCAGTGGTGCAGCTCACTCTGGGATCTGCAGCCAGAATGGAACCTGTTCTGTCCTCTCTGGGGTTTGAGACTTGTCTTGGAAGAGCAGAAGCCAGAGGACAGAGCAGGTTGGTCACTGGGCACCTGCTCAGGCCCCTCACTCAGTTACATATCCCCCTGTACAGAGAGGCTGGACCCTGGAAAGGTTCCGCTCTACACAGGCTCCAACCAGGGGCCTCTGATCACAGTCCCGTGAAGACCCAACACCGACTGCTCACCTAACCTTACAAGCCTCCCTTTTTCCATCTTGGTTACTTAATTCTACCTACTTCACGGGGTTGCAGTGATGATTAAAAGGCAAAAAGGGGAGCAGCCAGTGGTTAAGGCAGCAGGATCCTTCATGGTCAACCACACAGTTCAAGTCCTAAATGGGCCACTTGAAAAACATGCTGGGTGCACTGCGCATGCGTGCACTGAAATACCAAAAGGAGAACTAGAGAAGAGAATGAAGTGAGACTATCCTTTCTCGCTTTCTCACTTTCTCTCTCTCTCTCTCACTTTGTCTCTCTTTGGCAAGCACTCACACCCTCTAGCAAGTTTTTTTCTTAAAAAGGCAGAAAGGGAAGTGGGTATGTTTTCTAAAAGGCAAAGTGCTAGAGAGTAGGGCTGCCAGAAAAAATACAGGACATCCAATAAAGTTGAATTTCATGTAGTATCTTTGCATGGGTTATATCCCAGTACTGCATGTCTCCCAGTGTTGTATGGGACATGTAATACTCATTGTCTACTCAAAATTCAAATTTAACTGGGCATTCTTCATCTGTACTTGCCAAATCTGGCAACCCTAAAACAGAGGCAGGAGACTACTCAAAGCCTTCTCCACTTCCATCTATCAGTGATTCTTACATTTTCAGAGCCAGAGAGCCCCTTAGGAATCTAATGAAAGCTGTGGACACTCCCCAAACACACACATGCACACACGCACAGGTTTGCACACCATTTGGGGAGAGGTGGTAACACACTCCTAGTGTCATTCATGGGTCCCAAATATAAGAAACTATCCACAGAATAGCTGTCCCCTCTCCTCCTTACCCCTTTGCCCCTCCTCATGCCTCTATACCCCCTCTTCTGGAGAACTGCAAACTCAGACAGGATCCCCCCGCCCATGCTCCTTCCAGCCCACTTCTGCTTTTTCCCAGAATGAAGCCCCTTGAGGCCTAACCCCAACCCCTCCCTAAGGTGCTGTCCCTGCCATTCTACTCACAGGGGGGCTTCTTAAGGCTCTGGGAGCTCGGCAGGGTACCCGTGGCTCTCCGGTAGCTTAGTCGCCTGTGGGCAGAGAAGGGGATGGGCAAGCCCATGAGCTGGGCCAGAGAACCGATTGAGGGGAGTCTTCTAGGAAACTCAGGTAAACAGGCCTGGATCCCACAGATGGGCACAGGCCAGCACTCAAAGGGTCTCCTGCTTTATACTGAATTCTAGTGAAGGAGGATACTTTTGGAAGGGCTCACTGGCTAATAAGGTATGACTCTTTTTCTGAGAAGTCTTCCCCACAGGCCCAGATGAAGCACATTCTCCTAGTATGAACTAGCAGAGCACCATGTCCTCCTCGCTCACACATATATTTATAGCAAGTGTTGGTCTGAAGAACGGACTTTCCCACTACACCATAAGCTTTTCCAGGGCAGAGACCACGAGTTCACCAAAGCCTGCAAGATCCCTAGCACAAAACCAGCTCAATTCATGGGACCAGCAGTTAGCGTAATGGCTATGTCACTGGACTCCCATGTAGTCGACTGTGGTTCGAGTCCCGGACCCAGTGGCTTAAACTCACACCGGGCGCGTGTGTGCCCAAGATCCCAAGAGGAGAAAGGAGGAGAAAGGATTGCAGTATGGCCATCCCCCCTGGGGGGTGATTTCTCACTTTCTGTCTCTCTGTCTCTCTCTGTCTGGTAAGCGCATGTGCCCTATAGCAAAAACCTCTCCAAAAAAAAAAAAAAAAGAAAACCAGCTCAATTCACATAAATACCTGCTGCCTATGAATGAATGGTACATCTCCTGAGGGAATATTACATAGCCACTAAAATCACACACAATGAATATTTAATACTATGAAAAATGCTAATGTCAAAATATTAAAAAAAACCAAGACCTCAAATTCTGTATGCAACACTCACATAAAAAGCACTGGAAGGAAATAAATTATGCTGGTTAAACGGTGGCAAGATTCTGGGTACATTTTTTTCCTAGTCCTTGTCTTTGACATATTTCATTTTATTTCTTCATTTTCTCTAAATATGTGTTATAAAATAAATTAACTCAATAACAACTGGTCGCAATGTTTATTTAGGTCTCAAACAGCTACTATCACTAGTGATGGGACAAGAAGGACAAACACAAGCACGATTGGTACTTACCTTGGGGGACAATGGTCCGTGGGCCTCTCTGGTTGTCATGGCAGAGACTTGGGGGTTTGCAATGTACCCAAGCCCCAGACCTACCTCTCCTGGAACTGCTTGGAGGGAATGAGACCGGCTCGGAGGTTGGTGTCCCCTACTCGTTTGGCCTGCCACCACGTGGGGTCATCCTGGCTCACCACTTCCAGAACCTGTCTGCGCTGGAAGGGCAGGCCTGCCTCCTGGCAGGGAATGGCCCGGTCCTCTCGCGGATTGTAGTGGAAGAGGGCCCGCATGAACACCTGCATAGGAAGGGCTCTGATGAGGCAGCCTGCTCCGTGTAAGGGTGTGTCTATGTCACACCGAAGACCAAATGACAATGACCATTCACAATCAGGAAGGACGAGAAGCCTTGAGAATAGAAAGCAAATCAGAAACACACTGCGCATATTTTCTTACTGTTCTTCAACCATTCTGACTATTAGAGTGGAAATCCACCAAGAACTGGAAAGTTACTAGATGAGCCTCATGACTGAATTTGTCTTTCCAACCTGAATACTTCCTTATTTACTTGCTCTGCTGTCCTCCTAAAGGTCTCTGAGCATACACAAAGCGACACACAATGCTGAGAACCAAAAGTAAAGGCAAGCACAATTTGCAACTCAAATGTTATTTTTGATATCCCAACTGCTCCTAATGAAACCAGCAGCCATCTGTTCAACAAGTAATCTAGATGTTTTGGTAAAAACAAAAATATCAACAAAGCTACCCCTGCCTCACCATCATTTTTCAGTTGGTAATTGACACCCACAGTTTTTACAGTTCAGTCTTTCCTTATCTGTCTTATACTTAGCCAAGCCCCAACTCCCTCTTTATCCAAAGTCACCATCACATAACATTTCTTCACACTTCCTTGTTCCTTTCTATGATTCAGTGGCATAGATTTATTTTATTTGTTCCCATTTCCAGACCATTAGGGTCCAAATACTTCAGGAACAAAAAAGGGAAAAAAAAAAAAAAAAAAAAAAAGCAGTCAGGGGTCCTTCACAGACAGATCCAAATTCTATTTTTTTTTTTTTTGAGAGATTTTCGCTATAGGGCGCGTGCGCTCGCCAGACAGACAGAGAGAGACACAGAGACAGAAAGCGAGAAATCACCCCCTAGGGGGGATGGTCACACTGCAATCCCTTCTCCTCCATTCTCCTCTCGGGATCTTGGGCACGCATGCACACGCGCCCGGCGTGAGTTTTAAGCCACCGGGTCCGGGACGCGAACCGTGGTCGACTACATGGGAGTCCAGCGACATAGCCATTACGCTAACTGCTGGTTCCCCAAATTCTATTTCTTTTTGTGCCAGAGACGACTGAGTTAGACAATAATGGGAACTTTCTGGCCATATACTGAGGGGACCGAAATCCTCATCCAGTCACAGATGTTGCCAGGGTCCTAGGCATTCAGAAAAGAGTATAATCTAGGGGCCAGCAGGTGGCGTGGTAGTTGAGGTGCTGAACACTCCCACAGGGCCCACCATGGTTCGAGTCCCAGACCTGGTGGCTTGCTTTATCACTCTCCCTCTCTCTCTGGTCAAATTAAAGTAAACGAATGAATGAATAAAATTAAATAAATAATTATTTCTTAAAAAAGAGAGAGAGTATAATTTTAAGTGTTCCACCCGGATCAAGCATCTTGATCAAAAAGGAAATATTTAGGAAGGACAGACCAAGAGACGAGCTACCCATTTTGTCCTCCAGACAAACCAAGTTATCTTCCTTTACCAAGTCAGAACCCTCCCAAGCTGCAAAACGGACCACGTTAGTTTGTCCCAGGAAGAACCGCCTTTCAGCGTGTAAAGGCAGTCGTATTTACACCCTGGGATTACATCAAAGAATACAAACAGGGCCAGCTGTGTGGCACAGAGTGATATGCTGCTCAAGAGAAGCCGGATCTCACATGGTGACCACGGTTCAAATCGCAGGCCCAGTCAGCCTGAAATGTGCCAGGCACATGTGCAAGTGTTCAAGATCCAACAGACTGGAGGGCCGGAGGAAGGGGATCACAGCATGACCAGACCTTGAAGAGGGTGCTCCCCTCTCTCTCTCTTTTTTACTCATGTGTACTTGTACATAGTCTATCGTCAGTAAAGAAAAGAGTGTTAAGATATAGCCATATAAAACTTATTTCTCTATTTGCTGTAAAAAATTATCATGGAAGACACTCCATTATCAATCCTCAGTCATCAAAGTATTTATGGGTCTTGCCTCTGCCAGATGCTATAATGTTCTCTTTCATGCATTTAGGTCTGGGAGGCAGGGGTAGGGATCAGCTTTCTTGAAAACCTGGCCTGACCCTCTCCATCCAGTGACAGAGAGTGTGTACTGTACTGGCTACAGAGAGTTTAGTACTGGTGACCAGGAAGTCCAGATCCAAATCTGTTGGGAAATTGAAGGGATGGCCTTCTCCTTACCCCCACCACTACCACCTCAGTTCAGGTCTTAATAAATTCTCATCCAGGCTTTCACAATACTCACGATCAGGCCTCCCTGTCTCCAGCCTCCACCTACTCCACTCTCCCACTAACACACAGATATGGTTGCATTACTCCTTCACTTTAAAAATAAACAAAAAATGAGCCGGCCCCAGGGCCTAAAGGTTAAGGGTGCTGAATCCCACATCGCTAACAGCACAGTTCGAATCCCAGCCCCAGTGGCTTGAGGACCATGCCACGTATGGGCACATATGTGCCTAAAATATCAAAGGGATGTAGAGGGAGAAGGGACTGTGGCATGACTGCATCCCATTGTGGGAGGGGCGGCTTTCTCCTTCTCTGTCTCTCTCTGGCCAGTGTATGCACCCTCTAGCCAAATTTGGGGGCGGGAGGGGGGGGAACTTTAACCTTCTCACAACCTCTGGGTTATTTATCTCTTAGGCCTGAGGTGCCCTCCACGTGCCCCAGGGTGGCACCATGTCAGTGTGCCCCAGGCTGACTTGCAGATGTCAGCACCTGCACCTCTGTCCCTGAGGATTTACTTTCCCAGCAACCAGGGCCTGCTCTCCCCTGATCCAACAGGCAGGACCTGCTAGGAATTAATCCCCCAGTGCAGCCTAGCAGGAGCTGCTGTATGGATCCCCAGTCCTCCAGCTCCCTGGGTGGGCTTTGGAGTAGAATGACAGGGTGTGTGTTCCACAGGGGACGCCCAGTTCTCAGCAGATTAAACTCCAGCTGCCCACGATGTTCACTTGCTTGACAACATACCCCGTCAGATCAGCTGCTTCTTTCCCACTCTCTCCCCTGGAGTCACCTTCCGAATTCTTGTCTCAAAGTCAGTTTCTAAGAGACCCCAAACTAAGCAGGGATCATGAGGAAACCCTTAACAAAGCACTCAAGGCCACTCAGGGCACAGGCTTCACCCACCTCCTCGGCCCACCCACTCCCCTTGCCCCCAGCCCCACCTTGCCCTTTCTCGCCTATCCCCAAACCCTCAGCTCTCCAGGAAGCCTAGAGTCTCTAGATGCAGACCCTCGGCCTGGCCTTCCCTCCCAAGTCCTGCTCACTCATCTCCACCCCCTGAGGCCTGTTCAGATACCCCCAGCTCTGTGACCCCTTCCCAAGAGCCCATACTGCACACGATCGCACCAAAGCGCTCACTGCCAGCCTGCCCTTCTGACTAAGAACCCTCAAAGCTCCTGGCCGTCCCCGTATCCAGCATCTGGCAGGGTGCCTGGTGAGGAGGAAACCAAAAAAAAAGGGAGGCTCAGCAAATAATGAAACAAATGGCTGCTCCTCAATTGGTCCAGAATCCAGCACATTTGGTACCTTCTCCTCCTCTTCATGGCCCTGATTTTCCTATTTCAATTAAAATAACCTTGCCTTTTATTAGTAAGCTACGTCAAATCCTGTTTAGAAAGAGTCAGGGTGCAAACGAATGAATCACTTTGGACGGAATTAAAGTTCTCTCTGCTGGACACAGGCTAAGACGTGTGATCTATTCTCAAAGGGCTGTTTCAAAAGACTGGCCTGGACCCAGCCCCTCCAGCACAGCCTCCACTCCCAGCCAGGGGCCTGTGACCCCAGGGAACAGCAGTACGGGAGCGGGCGCCCACGAGGCCACCTCCTCCTACCTTGCTCTCCTTCAGGCGATCCTCCTCCTGGGTGGCTGGGATGATTTTTAGGGTGATGGATCCCTGGGACTGGGCCTGAAAGGAGAGAGAAAGAAAAGGCTCATCCCCTTCAAGGTCTAAACACTTGGTCATGAATTCAAATCTCATTTTCCAAGTCTATGGTCAGAATGAACGTCAGACTCACAGCCTCCCCTGCAGCCTGGCCTTCTAGGACGACACCCTGCCTGAATTAACTAAAGCAAAACACGGGAATCAAGTCTGCATTGTCAGGGAACGGGGACAGAGGCTTTAAATTCCCCGAGGTCCTGAAGGGCTCCCCTTCTTGCTTTCTCTTGGGTCACTTGGGCAACCCTTTCTAATTTCACTTTCCTACTTCCTGCCTGATTTGGGGTTGGTCCCAATCAGCACACACTTCCCTCTTTGCTTCCATCTTCCGCAACAGCCCCCCAAGCTCAGGCCACTGCCACCTTTCTAGAGGTCTCTCTACCTGCCCTCCAACAGAGATCCTGTACCCCAATGCCAAGGGCCCTTAAGGAAGAACAGCATCAGACCATAAGACTCAGCACCCTAGAACCAGGGAAGGGAAGGGAAGGCCACGACTGAAGGGCTGCCTCCAATCTGGGTCCCCTTCATGAGGCCTTAAAGAGGGGCATCCTCTTTTCAGATCTCACCCTGTTCCTGCCCCTCTAACTACCAGAAGTGAGCAAAGAGCATGACTCCTCAGCATGGACAATGGAGCTTGTTTTCTTTTCTTATTTTTTTTTAAGAGATATTTTTGCTATAGGGCACGTGGACTCACCAGAGAGACAGACAGACAGAAAGTGAGAAATCACTGCCGGGGGGATGGCCACACAGCAATCCCTTCTCCATGCTCCTCTTGGGATCTTGGGCATGCACACACACATGTCCAGCATGAGTTTTAAGCCACTGGTTTCGTGACTTGAACCACAGTCGACTACGTGGGAGTCCAGCAATATAACCATCATACCATTGCTGCCCCCATTATTTTTTAAAGAATTATTTAATTATATTTTTATTATCATTATTTTTATTTTTAATTTGCTTTAGGGTATATGTATTCACCAGAGAGAAAGTGAAAAAGCCAGCCACCAGACCCGGGACTTAAACCACAGTCGGCCACGTGGGAATCTAGCATCTTAACCGCCACACCACCTGCTGGCCCCTATGGAGTTTGTTTTCATATCAGCATCAGAAGATGCTGTAGAGATCCCAGAATCTCCTTACACTTGTAAAGCGCTTTATCCTCTCCAGATGTTTAATCCTAAAGATACCCATATGTTGGCTGAGAAATCCTCTCTACCCCTACCTTACAGGAAAGGAAATGGAAACTCATGATTTGGTAATTTGTCTTAAATTTGCATGGGAAGAAAGTGACAGAACCAGGATTCAAACCTAGCACCCACAGGGCCCTTGTGAGGGAGCTGAGGTTAGGGAGGATGGCTATGCTGAAGAGGGTCTGAGAGGGGCAGGAGGACTGGAAGTTCCACTCCTCCTGTTCCACACTCTGCACCCCAGCACGCTGTCAGGACACTTTGCCTGCTACTTCCACCTCCTCATGAACCAGCAAGGCTGAGCCAGAATCTGCCTGGCTCCAGGAGTACCAGCTCCGGTGCCCTGAAGACCCAGCGTGACCCCAGCAGGCAGGCAGCACCAACCAGAATCTGGCTGATCTCGTCGGGCCGCTTGTGCAGGACTGCGATTCCGTTCACTTCTCGGAGCTCGTCGCCAACGTGGACCAGACCTAGGAGACACAGGGAGCGGCCATCAGCGCAGGAAGGGCACCTCAGACCCGGCAGCTCTGGGAACCACTGGGTCCTGCCTGGGGCACCCACTGCAGGCCACACTCAGGACTTAAGATAGTGGGTAAGACTGGCCTGAACCAGCCCTACTGCACTCTGGGCACCTCTCTGGGCATCGAAGCCTCACAGTCAACTGGTGAGATCTCTCCAACTTACGAGTTGGCAGCTGAGACCTAGGAAGACAAAGCAGCGTGTGCGAGGCCACGCCGCTAAGAACAATGGAGCCAGCACTCACGCCGTTGCTCTGACGCAGAGCCAGCGCTCTTGATATAATGTTTCTGTAAAAATGCTAAGGTTTCACCTTCCTGGGTTTACAGACAAACTCCAGGATTGCCTTTCTTCCTTTTTTCACATTTGCTATAGGGCAAGTGCACTTGCCAAAAAGAGACAGGGGGAGAGAGAGAGAGAGACAGGGAAAGTGAGAAAGCATCCCCCACAAGGGACAGTCATGCCACAATTCCTTCCCCTCCATTTCTCCTTTAGGGATTTTGGTCACACACATACACACACCTGACATGTTTATCAAGCTGCTGGGACCAGGAATCGAACCACACAGTTGGCCGTGTAGGATCCAGCTGCCTTCACCACCACATTACTGGCTGGCCCAAGAATGGCCTTTTTAAATCTTAACAAGAAACTTAAAGGCATCAGATGTCATCGAGAGTGTTAAACACACCTGGCCACTAGCTGCCACTATAATGACAAGTGTCTCTGTGTCGGAGGACCGGTTTACCACCAGAGTGGCCACTGGCCTGGCAGCCTCAGCATCAGTAGGGAGCGGGTTAGAAGTGGAGAAAGCTGGGACGGCTCTTTAGCTTAGTGGTTAAGAGAGCTGGATCCCACATGGCCGACAGTTTGAATCCTGCTCCCAGAGCCTTGAAAAACACACTGGGCACAGGTGTGTGCATATCCCAAATCCCAACAGAATGGAGAAATGGACAAAAGGAGACTATAGCCATACGCCATTGAGGGGTCCTTTCTTCCCTCCACACCTCTCTCTCTCTCTCTCTCTCTCTCTCTCTCTGACAAGCACATGTGACCTCTGACAATTAAAAAAAAAAGAGAATCCTGGGCCCACCCAGACCTGCTGAATTAGACCTCCACTTCAGTCAGATGCTCAGAGGATTCCCGTGCTTAGTCTTGTTTACGTCTGAGAAGCCCTGGTCTAGGACTGTCCACAACGATCCCTCAGACTTGGAGGGTAACATCCCCCTACGGCAGGAAGTTTGCCTCCCGGCTTAGCAGTTAGTTCTTCCACAACAGATTCCCAGCCTGTCTCCATCCCAACACTTCGGGCACATACACGCCCTCTCCTCTGTAAGAGAAGCTTGGCAAGGCAAGCAGAGTGAGGCTAGAGGTGTCATCCTGCCCTCAGTTCAGAGTCCCCAAGAAGCCCATGCTACACCCTTAGTTGTTATGGTCCTCGGACCAAGCTAAGGCATGAGCCCTTTCCTGGCTGCCCGCACAGCACACACGCCTGTAGTATTTTCAATAAAAATACTGATTAGGTTTAAGAAGGAGATGGGAGTTCCAGTCCCACACCCAGAAGGCAAAGCACAGCCCACACAGGTGACCTGACAGGAGACGGAAAGAGGGGCCCTGTGAGCAGAGGCAGAAGGCTCTGAGACCATGTCTCATCGCCAGTACTCACCACTCCTGTCTGCTGCGCCCCCTCGCATGATCCTGGCCACCACAACAGCCCCTGAGTGTTCATCCCGCCGGATGGTGGCACCCTGCATCAGAGACAAAACAGCCAGGCCCCTGAGAAGCAGCCCCAAACCTCAGACCCCAACTCCTTGGGTCATAGGGCCACTCCCATCCCTCTCTCTGTCACCCCAAAAGACAGATCAGTAAGGACCTTCCCACTGCTGAGGCCACATCTCACACCAGCACAGCACTGCACTTTACAGTGTTCAAAGCGAAGTAACCACCTGTGACATTTTGGATGTGGGACTGGGGCTCAGAGAAGTTAAGCATTCTTTAAGGTCACCCAGCAGGTAAGGCAGAATGCTTTTGGTGATACCAAACCCAGTGCTTCCTCGGTCACATCACAGCCCTTGCACTTCCAAAGACATTTAATAATGAGCACAATAAGTGCCAGCAAATCCTCCACCTGCCACTCACCAACCACAGGGTTACGGGCCCTTCTGTTGTTGCTGGGGGAGCCAATTACACCCCAGCCAGAGCCTCCAGATCAGGACTTGGCCATGAAGCACAGCAGACAGGATGTCTCAGATGAGAAAGGCACTAATGAGCCCTGAGCTCCTACACCATACAGGCTGGACCACAGGAAGGTGAAGAGCTGAGCTAAGCTCTGCTGGAAGGCCTTGGGTTGGAACCCAGCTCTGCCATTTACTAAAAACATGTGGCCCGAGCAAGGAAGTCCCTTATTCTCTCTGAGCCTGTTTCCCAGGGGACGGAATAGTGTTTCAATCGCCAGGTTATTGCAAGGTTGTATCAGGTCATGGATGCAAGGCACTAAGGATGCAGTCAAGTCCAACTGATGTTAATTGTTTATCATCGGCTGTAACTGTAAACACATTTGCACGCTTATTACTAACTTCACTCCTGTCACTTTTTTTTTTTAATGAAATGGGGAAGAGGGAAAAGTGCAGGAGGTGGGGAGAAAGGAAGAGAGGCTTTTTTTTATTTTTAAGTTTATGCTATATAGGGTGTGCTCACCAGAGAGACAGACAGAAAGTGAAAAATCACCCCCTACAAGGGTAGCCATGCCGTAATCCCTTATCCTTCATCCTCCTTTCAGGACTTTTGGCATGCATGCAAATGCACCCAACATGTTTTTTAAGCCACTGTGTCTGGGACTCAAACCATACAGTCAGACATGTGGGATCCAGCTGCCTTAACCACTACACCAGCTGGCCCAAAGAAGAGGTATTTTTGATGGGGCCTTATCATGTCACAATTATCCTGCCCCATCCTCCCAGTTAGCCAGGACCGCCGGTGGTGCCATCATGCCCAGCCTATTTAGGTTGGGCTGGGAACCAAACCCAGGCTTCCCATGCAGCAGTCCCCTCACACCTGCATCACTGCAGCTGGGCTGATGTCACCTATTCAAAGTATGTAATATAAATATTACTGGAAAGAGAGGCCATCTTCTAGAGACCCCAGGGCTTCTCTGCCCCAGACTTACAAATGTTCCAGCATCTCCATCTATCATTTCTTCACCTCTGAACTGCTGGCGCCCAACAAAGGTGCCTGCACAGGGGGCTCACCAGGTCTGCCAAATTGATGGCTGACTGCCCCATTTTGTGGGAGTGGAAGCAGAGGCAGGGCAGAGATCCCATCTGCAGAAGTCGCTCATCAGAGGGCATTTGAGGAGAGATGCAATGCCAGCTGGTGTCTTCTAGGGCAAGTACTCGGTTCTCTGGATTGCACCACTCCCCTCCACCTAAGAAACAATCCTATCCATTTTCTCAGTAATCAGTGATGAACCAGGACCAAGTGTTAAGAGCCTATCAGCTGGGGAAAAGAATGGTTGGTGTCCTTGGCTTCCCTGGCATTAAGAGCAGGGATTGATGGACTTTTTCTTTAAAAGGTCAAATATGGGGCCAGCAGAGCCTCATATTAAGGTGCTGGATTCTCATATGACCAACCATGGTTCAAGTCTGGGCCCAGTTGCTTGAAAATCACACCGGGCGCATGTGTGTGCATGCCCAAAATCCTGAGAGGAGAATGGAGGACGAACTGGCCATCCCCCCTGGGGGATGTTTTCTCACCTTCCCTCTCTGTCTCTCATTGGCAAGCACACACACCCTATGGGCAAAACCTAAAAATAAATAAATAAAATATAAGAGGCCAAATGTAAATATTGTAGGTAGCTGGTCACACGGTCCAGGTGGCAGCTGTTACTCACCTCTGCCACTGCAAATGTAAAGACAAACACGGACCATACATACATGAGGGAGCATGACTGTGTTCTAAAACCGTGTTGATAAAACTAAGCCCTTGGGCTACAGTCTGTCAATCTCTGGTTCAGAGTGTAGTGATCAGGGCTGCCCATACACCCATGCAGGTTACTGACTACACAGAAGTGCTTGGCCACAGTTTGGGGGCTGTGTCTACCCAGAAAGTGGAGCACTCTGCCCACAAAAGTGTCACCAGGACCAGCAGCAGTCCCAGCAAAGCTGCCATTGCTCACTCTACAGACTCCGGGAGACTCCCTTCCCAGTTTTCTGGGTGGCGGCAACACACAGAAGGGTGGGGAAGAAAGGTGGGTGCCACCTACCAGAGGTTCCTTGTTCTTGACCAAGCGGACAATCTTCACTGACTCCTCCTCAAAATCCTCATCAATATTATCGGGCAGAGGGGGGAGAACAGGGTCGAAATTCTTCTGGGCAACTGTATCATGCACCATGAGCACAGCCTGCCGGGAAAGCGAGAGGAAAGAAGGGCTGGCCACAGCCCATAGGGGCCAGGGGCCTTGGCCAGGCAGGTATCGGAGGGTCTCACATCTCATGGCAGTGTGACAAGCAGCTCAGTACCTGCCACGAGGCTCCCTCACTCAGAAGTCTCCTTCCCTCGGTTGCCCTCCCCAGCATTCCCTCCCGCCCCCATCCTGGGAGACACAGAGCCGTGGGTGTGCAGGGACTGCACGTGACTACCCTGAGGTGGGGGGTGGACAGCAACTGGAGCAGTTCCCTCTCGTCACTGTGCACGGAGGCGGCCTGCAGCTCCTCTATCACCTGAGGGGAGGAGACAGAAGGCCACTGAGGGCTGAGGGTGCCCGCCTGGCCCAAGTCTGCAAACGTCCCTCACAGAAAGTCCCTCCTCCCTGGAACTCAAGCCCAAGGGTCCCCCTACTATAGCTGGGCACATGAGGACCTCAGCCACCCCAGGACTGATGCTCTGGAGAACTATGCCTGGGGCCTGGAGCAGCTCAGAGGGTGACCCTTGTAGGAGCTACTGTACTAAGCCCTAACTGTACATTGTTCAGTGTGGAACTTCTCACTCAGCCCTTGCCCCAAATTCCGTGTAGTGGGTCCTGTTATTTTGCCATTTTACAGAAAGGAATTGTGAGGCTCAGAGAGAGTAAATATCTTGCCCAAGGACACAAAGTTACTAAGTGGCCCAGTCAAGATATGAACCTGGGCCTTTCTGGCTCTATTGCCCATGCCTTCACCACTATGCTATTTTACGGATGAGAAAATTGGAGCTCAGAGACGTTGAGTTCTAAGCTCACAGAGCTTGTCTGGGAACGGGCTATGTAGATGCTCCAGATCGCAGCCGCAAGGACAGAGGCACAGATCTGCACCCGCAGCCCTCGCCAGGCCACCTCCTCGGGGTAGGCAGGTTCCTTCGGGAGCTGAACTCAGCAGTCAGTCAGGACAGTCTTTCCTAACCACACAACACAGAGGACTAGGCCCACGAGAAATTGAGAAGCAGTCCTCTAAAAACGGAGACGCCTGAGCTGTAAGTGAGGACATGCTGCAGGTCCTTCGACTTCAGAACTTCACACTGGCTTCCCAAAGATAAGGTCCAAAATGGTTATTGCCTGTTCGCGTGACCAGGACTCTGAACGGTTTGGGGACGGCTGATCTGATCCAGTGCTCTTGTTTTAGAGATGAGGAAAACATTTTCTCAGGGACACACGGTAAGGGAGCGCCCCCACGTTACCACATCTCCTGCCCGTCAGAGACCTTAGGAGGAAGAGGAGGAGGAGGGAAA